TTCATCTGACACTTTTAGTCTCCCCAACTGTCTTTTGTAGCACGATGTTTTGAAACGTCTCGAATGACATTTTTTTAATTTAAGCATTCCTTTAAGAGATTTTTAAATGTTTTTTGCAAGTCTAGAAATATTTTAATCCAGTACATCTGACACTTTCTTAGTCTCCCCAACTGTCTTTTGTAGCACGATGTTTTGAAACGTCTCGAATGACATTTTTTTAATTTAAGCATTTCTTTAAGAGATTTTTAAATRTTTTTTSCAAGTSTAGAAATTTTTTAATCCAGTACACTTTCTTTTTACTTCAAGCCAAAGTAATCCGAAGTAACCCGAAGTGGCCTAAAGTGACCTGAACCGACCTGAAACTACTCCAACTGACCCAAACATAATTTTTTTTAAATCTAAAAGACACTTTACTACACGATGTTTTGAAACCTCTCGAATGACATTTTTTTAATTTAAGCATTCCTTTAAATGTTTTTTGCAAGTCTAGATTTTTTTTAATCCAGTACATCTGACCTTTTCTTAGTCTCCCCAACTGTCTTTTGTAGCACGATGTTTTGAAACGTCTCGAAAATCAAACGAAAACCTCGGTAATACGGTGATAAACGTTGTGTGTGATTTGAAAAAGGCAAAAGGCTGACGTAATTAGTATTTGTGCAAAGACCGGTGTTGTATTTTTGTAAAGTGCGAGTTCAAATTAGTGCAACACTCCAGAGGTGCGAATGCTCAAAAGGACGAATGGTCAGAGGTCCGAATGTAGGCCGGCAAAATGCCGTCGCCGATTGTCTCATAAAATACCACTTCAAAAGATTTTTATGCACATTTTCTGACTTCATACGAGGTGGGTGATGATTCGTGAACTTTGAATTGAGGTTAATAAAATTCCCTCAAAATTATTGCCGGTATGAATTTTCAAGTTATATAAATCGCGCATGTGCACACAGCCCTCTTACAGATTTGTTGGAGAATCAAATGACGAAAAGACGGTAATAAAAGTGATTTAGAAGTACAAAAGGTGAAAGAAAGCATTCGACGTACGAAAATATTTTCAGGTGCATCTACAAAGTGAGGTTAGCTAACTAGCATTGATCAGCCTGCTTAAAATGGAATTGCAAGCACTTGGAAAACAGTTTCTGGCCGTGTGATACATAAAACTTTTTCGGCCGACAACATTTTTCAATTAAAACAAATTTATTGTTAAATTTTCTCCGGCTAGGGAATTAATTTTTCTTCTATTGGTAGCACTCACTCCACGGTGTAATGATTTAAACTTAAAATAATTTTATGACATTTGTAAGGTAATTAAGACTTTTGAGAAGAAAATGCAATTGCATTAGTTGAAAATGGATACACAACGTACACCAGAGCATATTCAAAATGTGGCATAAGCTGCAA